TACTCAGGCGCAAGCAGACCAGAGATGAGAGCAGTTAGAGGCAGCCCAGAAACCAAACAAGGGGTGCTGGCATTTGTGAAAAAAAAAAAAAAAAATCTGATGGAGATGAGGGAAGATTCTGGAAGTGGGTCAGCAGGTCTGAACAACAGAGAGGCCCACCAATAATGTCCTTGCTTGGCCTCCCCGGGGGTCGGGTGTTCTTTCCCGCCCTCATCCCCCTCTCTCCTGCCTTTTTCCTCTCTTGCCATCTTTAAAAAACACACATAGGCAGAAATCAATCCATCAAATGTCATTACAGATTTATTAAGCCTGATGTAGAAAGACATTTAACAGTAACATCTCCAGAAAGCATAAAAAGAGCACTTCTCTTCAGTCTTGTGCTTTGAAAATCTAAATATATTTTTATCATATAAATAATTCTTTTCATGTTTTAAGTGCATCTGTGTTTTTTTTTTTTTTCTTCTTTCCTTTAATTTTCATTTTTCAATTGGCCAAAGGAGAAGTCGACGTTGACTGAAATGAAGCCATTTGCAAAGCTAATGGTGTTGAGAGGCATGTCTCTGCTATTCCGTATCAGCTAGGTTTCAGAAAGGTGGTTCAATATCTGCAGCATTAAAATGAGGGACAGCCTCCAGCAAAATCATAATTGAACACACCCAGGTCCTTAATGTCAGCAGTTGGGTTTCCTGATGCAAATGACGATAAGGTTTCAGATGGAAACAGTCTATTTCCAATAACTGCTGAGTGGAAAAAAAAAAAAAAGAGACTTTTTTTTCAACACAAAGGAAAGAGTTATCCTGTATAAAAATGTAAATAATATACTTATAGAAACCTTTTTGATGGAAATCAGGGGCTCCATACAATCTTGGCGAGTGTGTTGTTATTTTTTCACAATAGCTCAAAGAAGTAGTGTCTGTTATTTAGGGCTTTAATTACAGTTCTCAAAGTAGAATGATTTTCCTTAAAAAAAAAAAAACTCTTTAGATGCAAAAAATAATGGCTTTTGTGATATAATTTAAGGGTTTTCTTCATCTCCACCATCGGAATTTATTTCTATTGGTAAAATTGTATTTAAAAAAAAATTCCCCTTCTACAGATAATTTCAATGCTGCGGCATCACACACAGGCATACATCTTAAGTGCCTCCAAACAAAGTCATTTAATTCAGCAAGGGGCTGCTGTGAATGTTTCTTTTTGCTTGATTTAAGTTAGGTGGGAGATCCAGATCAGATTGTTCACAATTAGGAGGGAGTACAGGATGGTGGCACCATGGGACAAAAAAGGGAGCACTTTTTCTGAAAATCCCTTCTTTTTTTTTTTGTTCGTTTTTGAGACGGAGTCTCACTCTGTCACCCAGGCTGAAGTGCAGTGGTACCATCTTGGCTCACTGCAACCTTCGCCTCCTGGGCTCAAGTGATTCTCTTGCCTCAGCCTCCCAAGTAGCTGGGACTACAGGCACGCGCCACCATGCCCGGCTAATTTTTTTGTATTTTTGGTAGAGATGGGGTTTTGCCATGTTGGCCAGGCTGGTCTCAAACTCCTGACCTCAAGTGATCATCCTGTCTCGGCCTCCCAAAGTGCTGTGATACAGGTGTGAGCCACTGCACCCGACCCCCTTCGTTTGTTTCAAGCAGGAAAGCCATCATTTCCGGCTGGTGGTTTGTCTTTGGGCCGTGACAATGCAGCAAAGCCTTTGGAAATTTCAAACAGTGACTGCATTGAGAGCTAATATTCAGGATGATGGGGAGTAAACGAAATTGGGGCTAGCCAAGGGAAGAATTTTCCAGATCCCAGAGAGGTGGGCATAGATGTCTATCTGTGATGAATCTGTTTGGCCACAGGGTGGTATAATCTTCCTAGCAGAAAAGTTTTTTTTTTTGTTTGTTTGTTTTTCATTGCAAGGACAATTTATAATCATCAAAAACAAGTGAAACATGGTTTTGATTAAAACAGCCTGTTGGCTCAATAATCTCTGTAATTTCAAAAGCATCCTTAATGCAGAAGAAGAACACTGCGATGTCAGGAATGGCCTGGGGCCCCATTACAACAGCAACCGAATAAATAAGGAGAAGAATCTTGAGGTCATAAAAACAAAATTAAGCTAATGTTTCAATTTTGACAATTATGAATTCTTCCTCTAAGAAGACATTAAAAAAATTTTCAGGCACTATTAGATAAAATACAAAGAGAATAATTCTACATGGATGAGTTTGCAGTTTTCCCACGGGGTAAAGCATGCCTTTAAAGGAAAACTCTGAATTAGGACGTTGATTCCTCCCTAGATCCAGCAATTGGACGGGACTCATGCAGACAGACAAACTTGGTTCTTATAGTTTCTTTGTAAACTCAGATCTAATTCTTTCATAAGCTATTGAAAGAGAATGACCAGGAAAAAATTACAAGCATATTTTTTCTATACAAAAGAATCCCCATTGTGGACCAGTTTGGTAGGAAACAGAAACAAGCAAATATAACAAAATCTGTGTTCATACATGGCGATATAGTATATACAAATATGTACAGTATAAAAATGCACGAAAGGCTTACGCTCCCAGCCATCCAAGCTGCATTGTACTCAAGGAAAACAGCCTGGTTTTCCTTCCTAGTATACAGGCAAATGTATTATATACAGCATGCAGGTGATAGAAAATTAGTGCGCTTGCACAGAAACATTCTACAGGTATGGTTGCAGTCATTTTTCTTTGAAAATGACCGGTCTGCTTTCTGAATATAAAAATGTGTTTGCCTTTCTCTGCTGGCAAATAAACACTTTCTTTTAGAGCAAGGATGAATGTGATCCTTGAAGCTCGCTCTGACCCACTTCCCCCGCCTGCCCTTTCTAAAAGAAATTAAAAAAAATCTAGAATTAATGCAAGGAAGCAAATATGTAACATAAATGTGTGTGATGTCAGGTTTCCCAAAAAGGTATAAAAGCTCTGTAGAGCAAGAACTGGTTGGCCATTAAAAAGACTGTATGATCACCTAACTTCTTCATTTTAAAGGGGTTTAGAAGTTTATGATTCATGCCAACAGTGCCTGGCTGTTAGGAATCAAAGTCAGAAGGGATTAGAAAGGACATCATCAGGAGATCAAAAAGTGTATTATAACCCAAGATATTGTGACATTTAGGAACCCTGGACCACATGACAACTGTTTTGTGTGTCGGCTCTTTTGACTTGCATTGCACATTCTAGCATCTGATGTGTTAGAAGGCTCAAGTATTGTCTTGTAAACTGGAATGTTTCTGTAATATTTATTTCAATGCACGACGGGCACCATGTTTACTTCTCTGAAAACCAGTTGAACTTTGTGTGTACTTAAAAAATATACATACACATCTATCATTCCTGAATGTTATATGGGTCATTTAGAATGTTAAAATATTGGCTGGGTGCAGTGGCTCATGCTTGTAATCCCATCACTTTGGTAGGTTGAGGTAGGCAGATCACAGGGTCAGGAGTTCAAGACCAGCCTGACCGATATGGTGAAACTCCATCTCTACCAAAAATACCACACACACAAAAAATAAAGCCGGGTGTGGTGGTACGTGCCTGTAGTCCCAGCTACTCAGGAGGCTGAGACAGGAGAATCTCTTGAACCCACAAGGCAGAGGTTGCAGTGAGCTGAGATCACGCCATTGCACTCCAGTCTGGCTGACAGAGCAAGACTCCATTTCAAAAAAAAAAAAAAAAAAAAAAAAGTGAAAATATTACTGTGTAAAGTCTTCATATTTGAGACATAATTGTATGATTGTTCTAATTCTGTTAATATTAGCCGTTGGCAGGGGATTGATATCCAAATGTAGATTTCAGGTTCAAGACAATTCAGTGAACACATTGAAATTTATTTTCCAAAGGAGTTGAATGGAGTGGTTAGATTTTTTTTTTTTTTTTTTAGTAATGCCTTTGTTCAAATTTTTCAACTTCTCCTGGGGTTTCTCACCAAAAAATTATTTCTTGTACTTCCAAAAGCTGTTTTAAGCAAATAAACATGATACAAAAGGCTGTGAGTATTTAATCTATCTTTTTCAAACAGCCTGTATTTTAAAAGGCCTTAATAATAATCATATGGCTGTTGGTAAAATCATTTGTATGCCTAAGGATATCAAGTCAGGATGTCATTCCTTGGAAGAGCCATTTTACTCGGAATATATTGTTCCAAAGGAAATGGACAGAGTCCTGTTGCAGAAATAGTGTTCCACCTGGTACTAGCATTTTAAAACAGTCCTATTCTAATCCATAACACATTTCTAGTTTTCCCTGAAGCTTTGGGCTGCCTTGTGCATGAATAATTTTTGGAGAAACACCCACGCCCGTTAGCCCATTGTTCGTAACTATTGGAAGAAGATTAACTAGAGCCTGAAAATTGTATATCTGCGTATGCCTCTGAATCTGTCACAGGGAACCAAAGGAGATAAGTGGCTTTTACTTTGGATGAAGAGGTAAAATTCCCCGGTAGAAATTCTAAAGATGATTCACAAGTTTCAAAATGTTTAATGCTTTCCTACAATGGAAACATGTCTCTCTGTCTGGGGGGATGGAAATTTGTATCTCTTTCTCCAGCTCAATCTTTGTCTAAAAGCATTTCATAGATATTTTGAGAAAGTGCCACATAGAGGAAAGGAGAAAATGAAATTAGCATTTTAACATCTTACAAGGGGAAAAATACACGAAAAGTTCAGTTGTGATTTCTTTTTGCCCAATGCGTGTTTGAAATAGATACTGTTATTGTTCCTTAGAACTACATATGTGCATGTTTTAAAGCCTTTAATATATTTCCTTATTGTTATTATTTTTGCATTCATCTACATCTTACTATCCTTGCTGCAGAGAAGAGAGGATGTGAAAAATGACATTTGGGCTTTTTTTTTTTTTTTTTTTAAACAAAAGCATTTAACAAGCTTAAAATATGAAACTCAATGAAAAAGAAAAGAAGGTTTGAACACAGTCAAATAACCTGAGAAGTGACAGATGGAAAAGCAACAGAATGCAAGCACCTTGTAAGGCCTGTAATCTTTGGATTTACTGTGAAAAGTTTCAGAACATCATAGACTCTTAACTGCCACATTGTTCAGAGACCCTGGAAAATAACAGTGAAATTCATATGTATACACATGTATATGAATACACACACACATACATGCAGACTGTCTTCACACACCCCTCCTCACCACTTAGCCAGTTACATAAATGCTTCTTAGATATGTAATTGCATTTGTTTGTTTTCTGCATTTCAGCTAAGTTCAGCAGCTTGCGCCTGTGACATTAATTATGCAAGATTCAGACAACCAAGCAGGCACATTTTGGGGGTGAGTTTTAAGAAATCTGTGACCTGAAAGAAATTCTGTGGGGACTGTCTGGGCTATCCCATTTATTCTATGATTATATTCTGTTTTTAGGTCTTGACCTATTTTTAAGCTATTTCCTCTCTGTATGCTTTTCAGAAAAATAATCCTTATTCTGAAATACTAATATTTTGATTCTACATGAACTCTGCCCCTTGAATGTCTTGCTGTCAGCTCTCTTTAGGAGCTGTTGCAAAACATCAGGAAGGCCAGGCTGTTGTGTGAAGTGTTTACTGTTGTATCCCACGGTGCCTAGGAGAGTGTCACACATAATAGGTGCCTAATAATATTTGTTAAATGAATTTGCTAAATAAATATAATTTCCTGTGGTGTCCTGTGCCACCAGTGCTTTGCAACGTGCTGTATATCTGGAGGATTTGCTCAACTACAAAATAAGGCCAAATACATAACATTTAAATATTGACATATGCATTTTTAAATGGACATTTCAATTTGCCGCTGGTTGGTGGTCTTAGCTGGAAGGAGGGATGGGGAAGGAAAGGCAATCTCTTGCTCTTGCTGGTACCAAGAGGTGGTGGCAGAATGGAGATACTTGAGGGTAATTTGCATTATATTTGCATGTCATCCTCCTTTCCAATTCTAAAGTTCTAACTTATCAGAACTGTGTTTTATTCAGGGAGAGGAGAGCAGTGGTATGAAGGTGGATAAAGACATTCTTCTGAGTTCATGTTATTTAGTTTTTACCTCCAGAAAGAAGTTTCTAGAAGCCTCAGAGGGCTGGCTGAACGAAGACAGACCTGGCCTCTAGGCATATGCTGAGAGCCAAGTGTATGCCCCAGTGCCAGCCCAGATCTTGTTTTTTAAGGTGAACATGAGCAGCCTTCCCTCAGTAGTGACATACATGGTTGCCAGGCGGCAATTCATGAGCCTTACCAAATTTATCAATATTTTCGTCTCTCACCTCCCACCCCACCCCACCATAGAAATTGCGCTAACAAACTATATCGATTATATGTTGAAGCAGATGGTTTATTTTTTTCATTCTTAGAAGGGAAACAATTTCCATGGAGTTGGGAATTGTATCAATCCCCCCACCCCCTGTTGGGGCAAGGGCTCAAGAATCCACTTTGGATGGTTGTGGTGGAATCTGAATTATGTAACTTTGGCCTAATAACCCTGGATTGGAGCAGGCAGTTTTAAACAGCTTCAAGAACCCCAATAATAATGCATTGATTTTCCTTTAATAGAATTTCCTTTTTGAAGGACGGTGCTCAGTAGAGTCCAGTCCACCCTTCAATCTTAACCCATCCGAAGACTGTTCCTTTCCAGTCGAGCTCCATTCATTTCTGGTTGAATAGGTTAAGCAAAGACAGACCTCGCTGTTCTCAATTCACTTTATGATCCTCCCATCATAAAAAATAATATCAGCACCTTGCTTTTCATGTCAGAACTACATTTGAGCCGCTATTCCCTATGCCCATGAGTAAATCCCATAAAAGCCGCCCCGTTGTACTGTTGCTATTTTTCCTTGTGGGTGATTGATTGATGGATGAGTGCTGACACTTCAATGAAGCTATTTCGACTGCCATCTCAATCCGATGATGTGAGGGGTATATTTTCTGTCCATGCCTCATTACTTCAGAATGACATTCCTGGAACTTCATTTACTTTTTCCCTCCTTCCCCGAAGCGCCATATTTTTTCCCATCTAGGTTATGCATGCCATAAAAAAAGCAATTTGCTATTATATGTGGCATAAGGGCAACACTTTCCCTAGGAGGTAAATAAGAAGTTTTTTTTTTAATCCCAATGTTGAATTTAGGGATCATGTCAAAATTTCCAAAACAATTCCAACAGGCAGCCTCCTCGAGAAATTGTGAGGAAGAGATATTTGGCTTCATTTTGTCAGTGTTGAGTTTTTTAAAAAATAACCTTGGTAATTAAAGCAACAAGAGAAAATATTCTTTTGTTTCAGAATCATCTGGTTCCTAGTGTTGTGCCTAGAATAGTATAAATATTTCACCATAGCGGAGTAGCAATTTACCACATAATCCAGACTTACTTGTCCTGTGAGAATAAGGAAATTCATTGTTTAAATGCAATGATGGATTTATCTATTATAGGTTGCTTTCAATTGTATAGAAAATGTTCAACCAGAGTAAACAGATCCATCCTTGCGTCTCCAAACTGTGCACTAGGTATGCAAGACTTTCAGTATTAAAACATGCTCTTAGCTTTTCCAAGTTGACTTAGGACCTGATTTTAATCTGTGTAATACAGTATTCCCGTTAATAATAACGTATAATTAAGACATCCGTTAAAAATCCATAATGTTAATTTAATGGAGAAAATCTAATACAGTTCTATTGGAATTTTTACGTTAAATTAACTTTAACGGGCTTTTAATGGATGTCTTAATTAGATCTCATTATTAACGGGAATATTCCACAAATTAAAATTGGGCCCTCAAAGTTTTAATGAAAAAAGTTGCGGGAACACATTTAAAATGGACACCCTATTTCATGCTTTCTGTTGCTTCTAAAGCTAAGTGGCGTTTTAGAGCCCGCAAATAGTCCTCCGAAAGGGATTCCCAGAAAAGGCTGTGTGGAACTGTCCACCCTGCAATGATGTCATCTCACGTTCTCTCAGATTCTGCACTTCACCAATTCTCCCAATTTGCAGTTCTCATACGACAGTGATGCGTGCTTGAAACTTTTTTTTTTTTTTTAACCAATCAAGATAATGATGATGATCAAGGTGCTCACCACTGCATGGGAACAGTCTTTGGCAGCAACATGGTTAAGCTTAACTATTTGAACAAGTTTCACAGAAGATGAACATTGTTCAGGGGTTTTCTTGGCTCAAACTCTGGTTTAACTTAATAATTCTTCTACTTTGTAGTGATTAATGGCCCCCTTGTGCAGGGGCAGGACTGGGCAATCCAGGTGCAACCGTAATTGTTACACTGAACAGAAACATTTCCTTTAGACAAACGTTCCCAGAGGGGTTATAAATAGGAAATGGACATTACCATGAAAAGTAAGCCTCCAAATGTCTACCTTGAGTGCAGCCCACGTGGACATTAAACTATGAAGACTTATACTCCCCCTCGTACCCACTTTCCTGTTACAAACTGACAAAATAAGTACATCAATGTTCTCAGTCATTACTTTTCTTCGGTGGCACTTTGTTTTCTTGTGACAGTGAAAAGGGTCCTTGTAGAGACGAGACAGACCCATTGCAGTTTATCAATGAAAATCTAATATCGCCCATAAGCAGAGAAGTGGAAATCAATACTTCATTACCAAATTGTTAGTGAGGATGAAGAGAAATGGCTGGGGTGATTTTTTATTTTTTGGCAGTCTTCTCGGAGCCAGGGTGTCAGGAGGAGTTCAATGAGTTCAATGTCAGAAGCAGAATGGTGCAACGAAGAAGGGTTCAGTGTGAGGGGATCCAGGCTGGAAAGTGGAAACTAAGGCATTCGTCCTGTAACGGGAATCAGAACAACAGAAAAAGATGCATTATTTTCTGAGGTGTAGCCCAGGTGATTCTTCCCCGGGGTAATCCACTTGCCCATCTCCACTACTTTATTGTCGGAATGTTCGGAATAGAGTCATAGTTATATAACCAGACCGTGGAACATGAAAAGGAGGAATCAACTTAAAGAAAAAACTATTTAAATACTATATGTTTTCACTCATAAGTGGGAGCTAAACACTGAGCACACATGGACATAAACATGGAAACAACTGGGGCGGGGGAGGGAGGAAGGAGGGAATGAGTTGAAAACTATCAGGTACTATGCTCAGTGCCTGGGTGATGAGATCCATACCCCAAAGCTCAGCATCATGCAAAATTCCCATGCAACAACCTGCACATGTACCCCTGTATCTAAAATGAAAGTTGCAATATTTCTTGTTTTTTTTTTTTTTTGAGACAGAGTCTCGTTGTATCACTGCACTTGTGCCGTGGCATGATCATGGCTCACTGCAGCCTCGACCTCCCAGGCTTAAGTGATCCTCCTACCTCAGCCTCCTATCTGGAACCACAGGCACACGCCACTATGCCTGATTAGGTTTAGTTTTTATTTTGTAGAGCCTGTGTTGCCCAGGCTGGTCTCAGACTCCTGGGCTCAAGCAGTCTTCCCACCCAGCCTCTCAAGGTGCTGAGATTATAGGTGTGAGCCACTTAGACTGGCCAAAAAGTTTCAACTTTAAATTAAAAAAAATTTTTAAAAATATAATGTGTGGAAGAGATATTTGTATACCCATGTTCATAGCAACGGTATTCACAATAGCCAAAACTCAGAAGCAACCCAAGTGTCCAACGGAGGAATGGATAAGCAAATGTGATATATACATGCAATGGAATATAGTACTCGGCCCTAAAAAGGGAAGAAATTCTGACACATTCTACAATGTGGATGAACCCTGAGAACATTATGCTAAGTGGAAATAAGCCAGTCACAAAAAGAAAAATGCTATATGATTATACCTCTCTCAGGTATCTAGAGGTAGACAAACTCACAGAAACAGAAAGAGGAATGGTGGTTGCCAGGGGCTGGGGATGAGGTGCAAAAAGAAATAAGAATTCTTGTTCAATCAGTACAGAGTTTCGGTTTCATCTTTTATGAGATGAAAAATCTGTAGATGAATATTGTTATGTTTGCAAAACAATCTGAATGTACTTAAAGCCACTCAACTGTGCACTTAATAGTTAAGATGATAAATTTTATGATATGTGTATTTTACTGCAATTAGAAATAAAAATACATAATGTATGACTTTTTCTCTATAAAGCTTTTTGAAAAAACAAACCCATTAACCTATGGTCATACCAGACAGAGAAAGCTCTCATTCACATTCTGCTGTATTTCATTCTAGTCTTTTCGTCTTTTCTTTTCCCATGCTTTTTTTTTTTTTTTTTTTTTGAATCGGAGCCTCACTCTGTTGCCCAAGCTGGAGTGCAGTGGCATGATCTTGGCTCACTACAACCTCTGCTTCTTGAGTTCAAGCAATTCTCCTGCTTCAGCCTCCAGAGTAGCTGGGATTACAGGCATGCATTACCATGCCCAGCTGATTTTTGTATATTTAGTAAAGATGGGGTTTTATCATGTTGGCCAGGCTAGTCTTGAATTCCTAACCTCAAGTGATTCACTAGCCTTGGTCTCCCAAAGTGCTGGGATTACAGGTGTGAGCCACTGTTTCTGGCCTTCCCATGCCTTTCATTAGGTTTACACAGTTGTATATGCTGACTATATGATGCATTTGTCTGGACATATTTTTTCACTGGAAAGCATCAGTCTAAACAGCCATAGAAGTTCTATTACATACATTATAATAGTCTATGATACTATGATAATGTAATAGTGAACATGTAATGTTTGTAATTTTTATTCAATAATACATAACGCTTGATGAACATCTTTGTGTTTCAAGCTTTTCTGTATGCTGGAATATTTTCATAGGCTTGAATTCTTAAGCATGAAATTCCTGTCAAATGACAGGAACATTTTTGTGGTAGGGAAGTGCTACTTAGTAACAGGGTGATTTTTCTTTCCGGGAACTTTGCTGTGGATTACTGTGTGGAAAGCATGCAATTTCCTTTAGCCCAATCTGAGTGGAGTTTCTTGTTTATATCTTGTTATTTACTGGTAGTGTTCATTTTAGTGAGGAAAAAAAACATTGAACCTAAGTATAATTCGTCTTTTTAGAAAAGGAAAGCTTCCATATTTTTAGTAGAAGGATAAAGGCAAATTGAAAATCAGATGACATTTGATATGTGTAGAGAAATTATGCACAAGATAATCATAACAGACATTTAAAACTATTCCTTGGTAAGGAATAGTATGACTGCAGTACTAGCAACCAGTTATTCTGTATCTGCCAAATTCCAGTCACTTTATACACATGACTGTTAACTCTTGAAATAATCTCATTTTAAAAATGAGCGATAAAGGCCGGGCATGGTGGTGCACATCTGTAATCCCAGCACCTTGGGAGGCAGAGGCGGGTGGATCACAGGAGGCCATGAGGTCAAGACCAGCCTGGTAAACATGGTGAAACCCTGTCTCTACTACAAATACAAAGATTAGCCAAGCTTGGTGGTGCACATCTGTAATTCTAGCTACTCGGGAGGCAGAGGCACGAGAATTGCTTGAACCTGGGAGGTGGAGGTTGCAGTGAGCTGAGATCGCACCACTGCACTCCAGCCAGAGCAACAGAGTGAGACTCTGTCTCAAAAACAAACAAACAAACAAACAAATAAATAAAGGGAGAGAGAGAGAGAGACAGAGATAAAAAAGTAAGTCACTTGTTCTAGGGTTCACAGCCTTTAAAAAGCAGAGGATGTCTTTAAATTTAGTCCTTCCCACTCTGAAGCTTCCAAGCTCATGACATGCACTACCCTACCTAGATTACAGGTGAACGCCTTGATCACCATCAGTGGAGAGAACCATTTCCCTTTGACATTAGATGTGCACTTGAGAGAAAAAGGGTCCCTGGCAGTCCTTGTTTTGAATGGGTTGGGACCCTCCAGCAGGTCTAGAAGCTTGAAGGAGGATGATCATGTGGTTGGAAGAAGAGAGATGGGTCAAAGAAAAAGTGGAGGCCAGAAATTGGTGGACTTTTGGAAATTGCAATGGTATTATACTGCGACACATAAGTGAAGTCCTGGCTGAAGGGTGCCGTTTCACACCAGGTCTACCAGAGGCTGACGTTGTCTCCTCTTTGACCATGATATTAATGTGATACCAATTTCATGGAAATTTGTATTTTTATGATCACTTCTTTGAAGTGGCTCCAGATTAGTTCAACACCCAGACTTTTCTAGCTGGGTTTCTCTTAGGGCAAAGTTTTTTCTGGGAATGAAAGCAAGAAGAAAGAAAATAATGACTTTATTGTAATTCCTTTTGTGGAATTTCACAACACACATTAACATATTAAAGACTCTGAGAAGTCCTGCAATTAAAAGCAAACCAAACCATAGTGTATTTTTACTTAACCCAGTACTTGCCAGGTGTATTTTATAACTCTCTTCTTCCCTATATAAGACTCACAAATAGACCTGAGTGTTGTTTGCTGAAAAATACCTTCATGACAGATTCTTTTTGTTTTTTAATTTTTTAATTAAAAATGTGTTCTGCTTTGTCTTGTTTGGTGTTGGGGGAGGTGGGGGACAGGGTCTTGTTCTGTCACCCAGGCTAGAGTGCAGTGGTGCAATCACAGTTCATGCAGCCTCAACCTCCTGGGCTCAATCCATCCTCCCACCTCAGCCTCCTGAAAAGCTGGGACTATAGGTGTGCAACAGCATACTTGGCTAATTCTTTTGTATTTTTTTTTTCAATAGACAGGGTTTTGACATGTTGTCCAGCCTGGTCTTGAACTCCTGAACTCAAGCAATCCGCCCATCTCAACCTCCCCAAGTGTTGGGATTACAGGCGTGAGCCACCGTGCCTGGCCAAATTATTTCTCATATTAAAAGAAAGTAAAAACCTTGTTTCTCTCTGTGCCTAAAGAGGAGATCCTGGCAGATAATTAAAACTGGAAAATGAAGGGAAGGGGAATAAAAAAACTGTTGTTATTATTTTCCGCTGTTCATAATGAATTGCATAGACCGGATTGAGAAAAAAAGGAAGCAGATGCTCTCAGTTGCCTCTCAAATGGTGGTTGAGGCTGGGCTTTGCTGCTGCCTTTTTTTCCTAGTATGTTGAGCTACTACTACAAAAATAAAACAGAAATAAATAAAAAAATTAATTACATATCCTAAAAAGTTCTTGGCAGCATTCATTAAGTAGTTTGTGAGGGACAGCCAGGCGAAGAGATGTAATTATTTTTGTATTAATTACAGAGTCACCAGCAGATGCGTAGAGTGACATGTGCTTTAATTTGGCCACGCCAGCCTTTCTCAGCCCCTGGCTCAGCACTTTGGCTGGCTCCAGCTCTTCTTGCCATCGCTCCATCCTCTCTCTTCACTCTGCTGTTGTTCTTGTGCGACACTCCCGTTTTTAGGGCATGCCTTGTGGTTGCGACAAGGGGGCACCACTGGCATTTAGTGGTGAGGGGCTGGGAACGTGAGGCACTTTGCAACGTGTGGGACAGTTTCACACAAGGTGGGGTTGTCCCTCATCTTGCACCCATTTGTTATTTTTTCATTATGACTATTTTTTTTTTTTTTTTTTTAGGAGATAGGGTCTTGGTCTGTCACCCAGGCTGGAGTGCAGTGGCGCGATCATAGTTCACTGCAGCTTTGATCTCCTGGGCTCAAGTGAGCCTCCTGACTCAGCTACCTGAGTAGCTGGTACTACAGGCGCATGCCACCACACTAGGTTAATTTTTAAGTTTTTTGTAGAGATGGAGTCTCCACAAAAAGACCTGGGTTAGCTGGCCACGGTGGCTCACCCCTGTAATCCCAGCACTTTGGAAGGCTGATGCGGACTGATCACCCGAGGTCAGCAGTTTGAGACCAGCCTGGCTAACATGGTGAAA